AGGATTGAGTCCTATTATATATGACCATATATGTTGTGCTGAATAGCTGAGTTCAAAGCCTGCTTATGCAACGGCCTCAAGTAGAACAGTGGGCTCAGTTGGTGGTTTGATGCATCATACAATTTACTTAATGAAAGTTTATAACATTTACTTATGGAGCTGTGGAAGAGCTTCCCGAAACAATTTAGTTAAACTGAGCACAAACATCCTCAATTAAGCTAAACAAGCAGGGAATAGATCGATGCAAACATAGTTAATTTTTAATTTGCCTTGCTTGAACACTTTGTCAAAAGCTTAACTAATACAAAGATTGACCATTTAAAGACAATATAGTGTTCATATTGTAGTCTTCATCCCACATGTTATGGTGTTAATTGCTCGAGAGGTTTTTACTTTTACAGTTATTAGTGGTTTTTACTATTACAGTTCTTAGATTATATTTTCTTTTAATGCTATCACTACTTGTGTTTAAGTCTTATGTGTGTGATTAGCTAATTGCTGCTATGGTATTGGGTTAAGGTTTCGAGAAGCCTTCTGCAATTCAGCAAAGAGGTATTGTTCCCTTTTGCAAGGGCCTTGATGTCATCCAACAGGCGCAATCTGGAACCGGAAAGACTGCTACTTTCTGTTCTGGAATTCTTCAACAGCTTGATTACAGCATAGTTGAATGCCAGGCTTTGGTTCTGGCACCTACACGTGAACTTGCTCAGCAAATTGAGAAGGTCATGCGAGCACTCGGTGATTATCTTGGTGTTAAGGTCCATGCTTGTGTTGGGGGTACCAGTGTTCGTGAAGATCAGCGCATTCTTCAGAGTGGTGTCCACGTTGTGGTTGGAACTCCTGGACGTGTCTTTGACATGTTGCGCAGGCAATCTCTTCGCCCCGACCATATCAAGATGTTTGTGTTGGATGAAGCTGATGAAATGCTCTCACGGGGATTCAAGGACCAGGTTTATATTAATCCCGTGTACTATGTTTTCATACTTGCGATTCCTCTCACAGGTACACCTGAGTGGATGAACTTTTTTATCCCACACTATCCCAGAATAAGTTTACCGGTTGACTTGGCATGGTTGTTAATAAAATGAAATTGTAGTCACCCTGTGACATACCATAAAAGGAAAAGATGAACTTTATTTTGGATTGCAGGGAGCAACATTTGGTATAATGACTTATTTTTTGGCAGATGTGAGTTGACCTGTACATGATTTAATCACAATACCAAAAATTAGTTTCTTTCATTCACCACTTTTATTTATATTATTATTACTATATACTCCCTCCATCCCCCTAACTTTGTCCCGTCTTACCTTTGTCATCAGTCCCATTAAGTTTGTCCCATACCATATTTGGGAATATTTGGGTGCTTACAATTCATTCATACTTTATTTACACTTCATCAATTCAATACCAACCACACATTTCCACTTTTCTTAAAAGCTGCACCATCCTCTAGTCCCAATCTTAGTGGGACGCAGATAGTATTATTATTTCATGTTTTTGTGTTCATAGTATTTATTATATTTGCAATCTGCCAATATGTATTGTGATTATTATTCAGAATGCATATTTTTAGTGTGTTGACACGGTTGGTTAAAACATGTGTCCTATTGACAATAGAAGCTAATGTTTGTCTTGCTTGTTTTTGTTTTTAGATCTATGATATTTTCCAGCTGTTACCACCAAAGATACAGGTAGGTGTTTTCTCCGCTACTATGCCCCCAGAGGCCCTTGAAATCACCCGAAAGTTCATGAACAAGCCTGTCAGGATTCTTGTGAAACGGGATGAGCTCACACTAGAAGGTATCAAACAGTTCTATGTCAATGTGGACAAAGAGGACTGGAAGCTTGAAACACTTTGCGATCTTTATGAGACATTGGCCATCACCCAGAGTGTCATCTTTGTTAACACCAGGCGTAAGGTTGATTGGCTCACTGACAAAATGCGTGGCCGTGACCATACAGTTTCTGCAACTCATGGAGACATGGACCAAAATACTAGGGACATCATCATGCGGGAATTTCGGTCTGGTTCATCAAGAGTGCTCATCACCACTGATCTCTTGGCTCGTGGTATTGATGTCCAGCAAGTGTCCCTTGTGATCAACTTTGACCTCCCCACCCAGCCAGAGAACTACCTCCATCGTATCGGGCGTAGTGGACGGTTTGGAAGGAAGGGTGTGGCTATTAACTTTGTCACCAAGGATGATGAAAGGATGCTTCAAGACATACAGAAGTTTTATAATGTTACAATCCAGGAGTTGCCAGCTAATGTTGCTGATCTTCTGTGATGTGTGGTTTTGGTTAAGGGAGGTGAATTGTTCTACAATTGAAGCAGTTTAAGCTCTTTAATTTAATTGGAGTAACTTATGCGCCAGACACCTAGTGTGGGTAAATTCAGCTCCCGCTCTTTCTTTCAGTATGGGACTGTAGTTTCTCACTTTCTCAAGATGGTCCAATTCTACTTTTTGAATTTTTTGTTGATTTTGTCCTCTTGCACTGTAAGCTTCCAAGTAAATTGCGGATTTTAGTGTTGTTTGAGTTTGTGTTCTTTATTTGATTTGCTTTACTTAACTTGTTTTTTCAGTTTTGAGTGCTTTTTAAAAATGGATCACTCCTTGTGATCCGATCCAGTTGATTTTAGTATTTTACAAGCAGTTATGTTGCGTGTAAATTAATTACCTTGAGCTGTTTAATTGGTTGCATGCCATCACCTTTGATAATTAAGCTGTCTCTATTTAACATGATGAAGAAAAGTATATATTTCATGTCCTTTATAAAGTATATATTTCACGAGGCAATCTAACAATTATCAGATTCAAGAAATGCACTTTGATAGATGACTATAGGGATGGACTGGTCCTGGGTGGCCTGGCCCGGTTTTGGGGGGGCCGGAACCTGCCCGGTGGTTATATAAGGCAACAAGACTGAATTTTTCCAAGAATTAGAACGGCTATCGATCATCAGGAAATTTGATTTGCAAAATTTGACCGGAATAAATGGTGTTTGCTTTTTACAATTTTGTCCATCTTCCAAAAAGTATGTCTTTAAGTTAGTGGAAAAAAGTTAAAAGTAATGGTAAATTTGTCACTTTGTTCTTTTTTACTTACCTAAAATAAAAAGTGGAAAACCATTTTGGGGCAACCAAAATAAGAAATTTTGCAAATCAAATTGGGACTAGGCATGGATCGGGCTCGGGCCGGGCTATGGGGTTTGGGCCGGTTCAAGTCGGCCTTTTTTCAAGATGTTGGGACCGGAATAGGCCGTGGTTGATACCAGGTCCGGGCCAAATCGGGTCAGGCCGATCTGGGCCCGGTTGAAGGTAATTTTTTTGGCTTTGTAATTAACCCCCGAACCCCCTCCCTCACCTCCACCCCCCAAACCCTCCAAAAACACCCAGTCCTACTCAAGGAAAAGAAAAAAAACTGGAAAAAAACGAACTGGGCCTGGCCCGGATCACCCGGGCTGGTTCATGAGAATCAAGGCTCGAGCCCAGCCCGCCAGACCCACCCAAATTGGGCTAAAGCCCGGAACCGGTCATTCCACTCGGTCCGGTCCGGGCCCGCACAGTAGCGGGCCGGTCTGGATTCCGGGTAAGTTAGAACTGGTTGGGTCCATCCCTAATTGGGATGGAGGGAGTATGAATTTATAATTACAACCATTGCCAAGCCCCTGTGCATTGATAACTGAATCGGAAACCAACTACAATTCTACAATGTCAAATTGTCAATAACGCTAGAGCAAAATGAAGCTATCGCTCAAGTAAGAACGCACATGATGACACAAAGTCAAAAACTTTTTGAGCTGTGAAAAGTAATGAAGCATCACATATTTTACTTGGACATATTGGATGGTAAATGTTAAGTGCACAACAATGGAAAAGAATATCTAAGAATCATCAAATATTTGATTACATTTCTTGGTTAATTAGTTAGCAATGCATTCATAATCTTGCTCAAAAGTAACCCGCTTATTGAGAATTTCATTCATGTAATACTTGAGAACATCTATCATATAACAATATAGCTGATAAGCGGAAGAAGTTAAGTAGAAAAGGACAAATAAATGTACAAGAGCTGAGCATTGAGCATGGGATGAAATATATCAATGTTATCACAAGCAAATTCATCACTTCATGATGAACATTCTGTAATCATATGACCCAGTTCATTGTTTTCTTCTCTTGGTCATTGTGTAAATTGTATGATATGTGCAAGTCAAATAATTTTGCTCAAAAGAAGCCCTACAATAATTTGTACCATTTTTGTGCAAGTATGTTCTTGATCAAAATGTAAGTGACCATAATAATGTAACTTAGCTGCAGGGTAAGATATTATTGAGTCATTCAAGTATTAAGGTAGAGATTACAAATTTACAACTCTCACCTTTTCTCAAGTTATGTAGTAAATATAGAGATATTAACGTTCTATGCTTCCAAGTTCCAACGGACTCACACAACATTCATCCCGAATTTCATTCCCCAAATGGGAGAAGATGACAAGGGAATTTCCTCAAGCAAGACAAGTTTAAATGTTCTCTATCTACACTTGCAATCCAAAGAACTAACCACTGCACCTCACCCACCCGTCATACTTTTACTATATCCCGATAATAATAGAACAAGATTCCTTGACAAATAACATTTTTGCTCCTGATTTTACTATCACCACCATCTTGTTTCATCAGCAATAACTTTAAACCTCCATCCTGGAAAAATTGAACCTCTATGCTTTACCACTAGTGTGAAAGACACTTCAAATCTTGAATGATATTCCCTCCATTCCTTAAAACTTTGCCAACTTTTCTTTTTTGGATGTCTCACTAACTTTGCCACTTTCCCTTTTTAGTAAAGAATGAGTTTCCGGTTAATTCTCTTTCTCTCTCCTCTGCACAAAGCTCAACCACACATTTTTTACTTTATTAATACCCGTGCCGGTCAAACTTGACAAAGTTTTAAGGGACGGAGGTAGTATAATTATACAACTGGGCAACTGATTTATCAAGTCTGCAGATTGAACAACATTTATGAGAAAAGTCTAATCATCCTCAACACTGGCAAGTTTGCTGCCAAATGAATCGTGTATGTCTGCCTGAAAATAGCTACATGATGTGTTATGGGAAGTGATACATATTATACCTACACAATGCCAATTCAGCATAGTGCTACATGTTTTGTAAAGTTGTATGCTCTAACCGTTGTCACATTATCAGAGCAAGTCACAAGTGCCGATTGCCTGACTCAACATATGAGACTTTCCCCTGTGGCAGACACATGCTATTACGAAAGCCTCGATGCTTTTTACAACTCAGTAGCAAACTCACCGCACAACTGCCATCACCAGTTCTATTTTTCCAACTACACTTCTCCAACTTAAAAGATACTCCATATTACTTCATTGTGTAGTACTGGTTCAAAAGAGGTTGACATTTCCCTTCAAATATGTGAGTGTATGTACAAGCCACGGCTAAGCATGGCAACGGTGTGCTCCACCTAGTTGGTCACCAAGTTCTATGTGTGCATTGATTTGAAGCCTTCCGTTAGAGTAACTACTTTGGCAGTAACCTTAGGTTGCAGCTTTGACACACCTTTGCGGATGTCCTGTAATTGATATTTAAAATTGACTTAAATAGGAATAAAACATGAGTCATGGGCACATATAGGAGTATCGTCTTGTGTTAAAAATAAGACTCATTCAGTCCTCAAAAAAGGAAAAACACTAGTTAACTGTACTTTTATGAGTTAATGAATGAATAAATCACAATTAAGAATATGCGTTTTTAATCATATTTATAAACTTTCCCACATACAAAAAGTACTTATTTGGTTGTTGGGGAGGAGGCATAATAGCATAGAAAAATGAGCCATTTGTGTTTACTGTTTAATGAATGCACAATAAATTGATACCTCTAGATTGTAGCGTGGAGAGAAATGGGTTAGCACAACTGTTTTACTTCGGATCAATTGGGCATGCTCCATTATCTACAATCAGGTTGATACAGAGATATGAGGTATACAGAGATTCTATAGAGGAGGTTTGAGACTCTGCTAGCGTCTCAACTCTAAAGTTCAATAATATCTCTACCACTTGAATATACCGACAAGGAAGAAATTTACCTGTTGAACTTAGAGTTGAGTATCCATACCATATTAGGAAACCTAATGGAAAAACTATAATAATACTACTAAAAGTCTAAAACTATGATAACATATTAGTTGTTACAACTTCAACAGATAGTAAACTATAAAAAAAGGGCAGCCCGGTGCATGAAGTCATCCCCGCAAGGGGAGGGTCGGGGGAAGGGTCCCACCACAAGGGTGTATAAAGGGGCAAGCCTTCCCGACTTTCCCTGTCAAATTTTGACAAGAGTCCGCTCCCAAGACTTGAACCCGTGACCTTTCGGTCAGACAGTCACACAACAACACCTTAATCGGTGCGCCAATGCTACTTTAACAATAATCGTAAACTATAAATAAAATTATGATAACCATTTTACTACTTTAACAGGCTTCAAATTACCTCGGATAGATGAGTATGGCCATGCTCTCTTGAATGCTCAATGCTGACACTTTCATCCAAAAAAGTTGCCTGTTTAACATTTTTATGGCCGTCACCATTAAATATGAATGTTAGATATTTCTTCACCCACATCCAAGAAGAAAGACAAAATTTTAAAAAATGTTGACCTGTTTGGGCTGTTTCCCTTTTAGTTAAGGGTCACAGCCTAAACCCTAAACCCTATAATGGATCTGATTTGCTGAATGGTAAATTTCAGTTCTACTCCACGAAGTCCAATATACTTTTCAGAACTTAATTACATTAGAGTATTTGACTAATAAATACGGAGTAGTAACACATAACAACATTCATTTTTTACACTTCATGGCTAGGTGAACTACGCCCTCCACTATTGCATTATGTGTTTGATGAACTTACAATAAGGTACATAAACCAAAAAATAACCTCAGTGATAAGAACTTTTGCTCTCAAGGCATCAGCACTTTTGGGATCGACATAAAAATCTGATGTAGTATCTCCAGTGAAGGCCACCTCAGGACACAGTATACTATCTGTAATCTACCAAATGATTATCTGTGTTACGCACTTGTTAATACCGCCAATGCTCAATGGCATAACTATATGACAGAGCTACAAACCTGAGTTCCAGATTTCTTCAGTTTCTCAATCTGTTTACCCTGAAGGTGTAGGTATTGCTTTTTCAACTTCTTCCGTAGAGAGTAGATGACATAACCCTGAATATATGAAAACCCTAAATCACAGGTATCAACAAACAAACCACAACTGTGTTTGGCCTTCATGTCATATTAAGATTTGGGGTGCTATACGGATAGGGAGAATAACCTAGGATTGCATATATTAGTTTTAATATTTGGTGTAGGACAAGCACTTCAACGGTAAGAAAACCCACAAAAATAATGCGTACTACATTGAACAGATCTACAACATGTAAGCAGAGCGTATAAAGCAATAATAACATCAAAATTGAGGCATATTGGGGAAATTGTTTACAAAAAAGATAATATTATAGGGGTTAATTCATGAAATCCCCTCGGACTATGCAAAATCTTACCCAATCCCTGCGCTTCATTTTGTTAACCCCTACTTTTTTTGTTTAAATCACCTAATTCCCTATGATTATTGCACTTGTCTACACCATAACCATGGAGCTCATATTGTTTACTACTAGTCCTTAAATACAGATAAAATATTACATATCTGAAACCCTATTGCAAAGAGGTGAACTACAGTCAGTTTATTTCTAAGTTTATTGTATAGATTGATTAAAATGAAGGAAAAAATGAAAATGATCAATACCCAAATTCTGTATTACATTATCAGTTAAGACTCTAATTTTCTTTCAAGTAAATGCATAAAAACTAAACACCGCGTTCTTAGTAAAAATCATCTTTTGAGAAATAATTAATGAGAAAACTTGATGAGTGATGTTAGATGTGGTTGGGTGATGGAGAAAAAAAAGTGTAGGGACTCCAGCGAGACAAAAAGATGTCTGATGGATTGGATGAAGCAACTCTTTAGTCATAGGATGACTCATTAAATTAACCCATATTATAATAAATTAATGTTATGCTATTTCTAATCGGTTAATCTTACATTATATTATGACTAGTTGATTTGTGGTACTGATGTGTATATAAATTCCGTGTGAAAAATAAGTAGATAGCTATAAGCCTATAATATTAGTTGAGTCATTTTCCCCCTTTCCTATAGATTTGCAAGGTTTTAAATTTCAGTTACAAGTTACATAAGTGTAAAACTATAAATTTGCTAATATATAAAAAGCGAACTACTAAAGCCAAACAACTTCTGCAACATTTCTCAATAAATACTCCCTCCATCTAATTTTAATTGTACTAGTTTCCCTTTATGTCTGCCTCAGAATCATGTTCACTTTCTTAATTTCAACATTACCAACTTTTTTATGTTTCCTAATTCACCCTTTCTCTCTCTCCAACTTTTTAAAATGACCAACGCACAATTGTTCCCTTAAGAGAATATTGGATTGTGAACTGTATTTTACTTTTTCATTAGCATTCGTTCAAAAAGTAAAATGGTCTTATGCTATGGTACATGAGTACATTTATAAGAGAGTATAGGGTGAAAAAACTGCACAAAAGATAACACATAAGTTACAGATGTTTTCTTGTAGACTGTAGTGCACGGTGCACCATTAACCATTTCACACATTGACAGAAATACTTGACATTTTTAATTTTTTAGAAGGATGTTACCATTCAACACTCAACAGTATATAAAGTATAAAACCACTAGGAAAATACTATTTATCCATTCTTTGTGGACTAACAGATACATGCATACCTGGCTGGGTATGACATGGTGGGTTCTGAATGGCCTAACCACAAGATCATTCCGCAATTCATATGTATCCCCTGAGTGGGAATTGTAAATGATATTTGAGACTGTGATAAAGAACAATTTTGAAATGCATGTAAGCAGATAGAAGTCTGTACCTATATCCAAAGCAACCAAATCCAGACTAAGCTCAACTTGACTCATGGATCTGTGAATGTCAAGCAACTTTTGTACATCACCTTTTATGCAAGGAGGCACAAATACAGTTGGAGGTTTCAAGTTATACAAGCCACGAGTTGCTAAATACATTGGAAGTCCACCCTGAAATGATATACATAATTACTTCTTATTTCCATCTTTGCGTTTCAAAAGATTGATCAGCATGTAAAAAAATACTCCATTTTTATCCTATTTTCGTTTTGGGTCATCCCGAAATAGTCTTCATTTCCATTATTAAGTAAAAAAGTGCTTCATATTCTACCATTCCTTTTTTACATAAATACCAAGCACACATTTTTTTCACCTTCTCAAGATTCGCTGCAAATAAATCTAGGACATTAAATGGGGACGGAGGGACTGAGGGAGTATCCAGGAGAGCTTCTGACGTGCTAGAAACTCACATGAAAGCATGACAACTTTGCTAGTAAGGTTATTGGTGAATATCCACATAAATTTAAAATTATTATACAAGTCTTTACTTTATATACCCAGCAAGTAATAAGTGGTACTACAATTCAAAGTAATGCCAGATAATGAGGCTCAAGCATCGCTAACTCTATACGTAGAGGAAATTTGACTAGGGTAGTGAGCACCTTTCCAATCAGAAATTCAATTAATCAGGATAGTTTCTAATATGATGAAACCCAATACAGAAACTAGAATAAACGGGAAAATATAACTTCTGTGTGTGTGTGTGTAAAGGTGGGTGGCGGGTTGTGGAACAATACAAAAGAGCTCAAAATGTCAGAGTAAGGGAGCTCTAATAACGTTAGTATTACTATTACTGTATAAGCTCCATATTAAAAATTCAATATAATCAAGCTAGTATTTCTTCTAAGTAATCGTTCCAGTGATTTACCAAACTAAATGCTCTAAACCTACTATTCAATAAATTATCAGCAAACAGGTTCAGCTTACTGAAGCCTATAATGGATAACAGTATATTTTTCCTAATTCTGTGTTGGTCATATATGTGACCTGTGACCACAAATGACAGTATTAACCTCGTGCCCTAACCATAAGCTTTACAACTATAAACAATCAAGCAATCATTGTTTTGGGGGTCTCGAAGACTAAAACTGTACCATTCCACAAGAATCTAGGAGAAACACAATCACTCAACAATAAATTCAGATAAAAAACGGTTTACAATGTGATCCAGATGAGCGTGAGTGATGAACAAGAAATTCTGCGATACAGCCCTAGAAGGGCACCTCCCAATGTCGAAGACGCACTTCAGCTGAGGGACAATAACACAGGTCTCGTGGCCGCCAACGGACATTCCCTCAAACGAATACCCGCCAGCATCCATAGCACTCCGATTCACCTGAGCCCGAGCTTTCCTGTACTCTTCTTCTTCAATTGCTCTCTCAATCGGGAACAGAAATGCGCTGGCGGCAAAAGGGGTGGCTTTGACGGCCGCGGGGTGTAGATTTCCGGTTTGTGAATGGAAAGAGAGATTATGGGAGTGCTTAAGTTGGAGAGGGTCATCGACAAAACGCTGGAACTTTGGTAAAGCAGGAGCCTTTGAGGTTGCTATTACAGCTACTGCTGTTTGCATTTCTGGGGCTCTCTTTCTGGAGCCTTGAAGTGTTCTTTTCGGTGATTGTTATTGCCCCCATTGATGCAAATTAATCCAAAAAGGTGGAATTTATAGTCCCAGGAGCCCATAGATGTACGAGTCCGCAGAATGTGAGTAGTCTCATGCACGCGCAAAGATCCAGCCTTATTTTGACCTCCAGGTCGTTGCGGGGATTAACTGAGCTACACGTGAGGGTATTGTTATTGCCCCCAACCCCTACCGGAAGTTACTTTGGCGGATGTAAGTTGGACTGCTCAAAAAGCACCAACGGTTTCAACTTGCCAGCGTTTTCCTTTCAAAAAAATTAAAGAGTGCCCCTTCGTGTACATGCTAGGTTACATGCCGAGTCACTGACCGGTCAAATTGTGTGTCTACGGACAACGGCTACACAGGAATTTGACCGACGTTTTATGAAGAAAATCGATTTTCACATCGACAAAAACAAAGAGTTCTCTATATCACAGACATTTTACACGAGAATTTTCATAAAATTATCTGTGATACATCAATTTTAAATAAAAATTTTAAAATGTTTGTGATACAGACAGTTTTTTTATTTTTGTCTTTGTAAACATCAGTTTTCTTCATAAAACGTCGGTCAAATTGTGGGTGTAGCCGATCAAATTGTCTGTACATAAACAATTTGGTAGACGTGTAAAAACTGGCGTGTACAAAGGGAATTTTACAAAATTAAAATACTCTCTTAGCAAAAAAGAGAGATTTCTCCTTTCGCTACCGACATATATAAATTGTCGTGCACAAAGAGCATTTTTCTTTTTTCCTTTAAGAAACCGGATCGAGAAGTGATTCAGCCACGTCACGGTTCAACCTGGACCCAGTCGAGTCAATCCGGTCAATGACATATGTTGGGATAATATGCCAGGCCCAGTGCCATCGGCCCGTTATCCTCGAGCTTTGGCCCAACAAGGTCCAAGACGCAGTCTCACGAGCGGGAATCGCCCCTTGCTCATTTACTTATTTATCGGGCAGGTTCCCCCATTAGCTTGGACAAGTATTATGTATTTGGGCCAAGCCCACGTAGATTAGACTTTGGACTTGTGATGGATGCTTATAAATAGGCCATCACCTCCCTTGTATTCTCTACGCTATTTTTACTATACTGAAATGCTGATAGTTTCTCTATCCGGGATATTTTCTACCAACATTGTTGCTTTCATTGAGAGCCATCTCTCATTTTTTGGTAGGAACCGGTAGAGATTCGAGCAAAAATCAGATATGAAATTTTCAAGATTAGGTCCCAAGGATACGCAGCCACCAAGGTTGAACCAATGAGAACCCGAGCGACGAACGACCAAGAGAACTGAGCAACGACGGACGTAGACGGAGCCTTGCCATTAATGGCCGCTTGAGGTTCCTGGGATTGACGAGCGGGTTTCACACGTGACGCAGACGGAGCCTTGCCATCGCTCTCTATCTCCTCTATCCGTACGAACCGAGGACTGCACAAGCTCTTTTCGGCTGACCTCAGCGACATGGATTCACCTTCAACTCCGTCCGGCGATAGCCATGGATGGAGGCAGCTCGAGCAACAGAGGCGGTTGAGGGTCTCCCTCACGAGCAGCAGACTTCTCCTCAGTTCGAAGCCTCATCCAAAGATGGGCACGGACCTCACCCGCTCAAGAAAGGACAACCCTTGAACAATAAAAATATAAATTTGAGATTTGTACAAAATTTTCTGAAATTGTAGATTCATTGTGTATGCCAACTGATCGTGGTTCCGGAGCACAATCACGAGGTCGAACACGCTAGGAGCTATCATCTCAGATGCTTGTATGCTCGGTGCCATACACCATGCTCGTACACTCAGAGCATGATGGATCTCGAAGGGAGTACGTGTCCCGGCAAGTTGAGCAGCCAAGAAGGAGGCCCTCCCGGCAACACTCATCCCTGGAAGGAGGGAATGAGTCGTCTCATTACCCCCGTCGACCAGGTAGGAGGGCTGGCTACCTTGGGAGACGTATCAGCACAGACGTACTAACAAAGATTGGCCCTGAAGGGACGTACCGGCACAGACGTACCAGCACGGACCAACACTGATGTACCAGCACGGACGAATCCCGAATAGAGTATGTGTCCCGGTAAGTTAGCCACAACAGCCAGGAAGGAGGGAACGATTCATCTCATCACCCCTGTCAACCAGGTAGGAGGGCTGGCTACCCCTGGAGACGTATCAACACAGACATAGCAGCAAAGATGGGCCCTGAAGGGACGTGCCGGCACAGACGTACCAGCACAGACTAGCACAGACGTACCGGCACAGACGGATCCCGAATAGAGTTTGTGTCCCGGCAAGTTAGCCACGACAGCCAGGAAGGAGGCCTTCCCGGGAACACTCGTTCCGGGAAGGAGGGAACGATTCATCTCATCACTCCCGTCAACCGGGTAGACAGCTGACACCCCAGGACACGTATCAGCAAACATGTACCAGCACAAATGGATCTCGAAGGGAGTATGTGTCCCGACAAGTTGGGTAGCCATGGTAGCAAGGAAGGACGACTCGTCTTATCACTTCCGTCGATCGGGCAGGCGGACAGCCTTCCCGGACGGACGCCATGCTAAATCTCGACCTCACGTACGCGAGAGGGTTGCAAAGTCTTCTGCGCAAGTTCAGCTTCGCGATGGGCGCGCACGAGCAGAACTGGCCCCTGATGTGGTGAAAGATCTGAGGCTAAGGCTACACGAGCTGAGGAGAAAGGTCGTCGAGGGAGAGCCATATGTGGCCGACCTCCACGTCCCAGAACCATGCACAGGTACCATGATGAAGCATTGTTGACAAAGGGGCACAGACTTTGCAATGTAGAGCTATTACTCGAAGGCATGAAAGCATTGTTGCTAAAGGGGTACAAACCTTACAACGCAGCGGCAGCTAGGAAGGAGGCCCTCCCGACAACACTCGTCCTGGGAAGGAAGGAAGCACCATTGCTAAAGGGGTACAGACCTTGCAACGTGGAGTTGTTACTAAAAGTCCTGGAAACACCGTTGATAAAGGGGTACAGACCTTGCAACACAGAGCTGTTACTCGAAGGCATGGAAACATCATTGCTAAAAAGGTACAAACCTTGCAACGCAGCGGCAGCCAGGAAGGAGGCCCTCCCGGCAACACTCGTCTCGGGAAGTAATGAAGCACTGTTGCTAAAGGGGTACAGACCTTGCAACGCGGAGCTGCTACTCGAAGTCCTGGAAGCATCATTGTTAAAAGGGTACAGACCTTACAATTGCGGGCCGATCATGAAGGTCCAGAAGTAACGTTGCTAAGGGGTTACAAACCTTGCAACGTGAAACCATTCCACAAGGGCGGAGCCAGGAAGGAGGCCCTCCCGATAGCACTCGTCCCGGGAAGGAAGGAAGCATCGTTGCTAAAAGGGTACAGATCTTGCAACGCGGAGCTGTTACTCGAAGTCCTTGAAGCATCGTTGTTAAAGGGGTACAGACCTTGCAACGCGAAGCTGATCATGAAGGTCCAGGAGTATCGTTGCTATGGGGTTACAAACCTTGTAACGCGAAGCCATTCCACAAGGGCGGAGCCAGGAAGGAGGCCCTCCCGGCAGCACTCGTCCCGGGAAGGAAGGAAGCACCGTTGCTAAGGGGTTACAAACCTTGCAACGTGAAGCCATTCCACAAGGGCGGAGCCAGGAAGGAGGCCCTCCTGACAGCACTCGTCCTGGGAAGGAAGGAAGCACCGTTGCCAAGGGGTACACACCTTGCAACACGGAGCTGTGACTCGGAGACCCGAAAGCACCATTGAAATAAAACCTTGCAACGTGAAGCCATTACGCGAAGGTGTTCAAGCAACTCGAGTGGGTGGACCTCAGGGTCCATACCATCAACAACAAAGCTACGAAGTATGAGGATCAAGATCAATGCAGGACACCCTGTCAAGTCCTATGAGAGGAACATCACAAGCTTGTACATCAAGTGCATAACGCAAGGCACCTTATCAAATTCTATGAGCGGGGCACTGCAAGTTTGTAGATCAAGCGGAGTGTAGGGCACTTTTGCCAAATTCTATGAACGGGGCACAACGCGCTTGTAGATCAAGTGCGGAGCGCAGGGCAAATTATTAGATTTTATGAGCGGAGCAATACAAGCTTGGAGATTAAGTGCGGAGTGCCGGGAACATTCTCTAATCCTAAGAGCAAAGTACTGCAAGCTCGTTGATGAAGAGTAGATTGCAGATCAGCTCTCTCACATTCTATGAGTCGATCATCACAAATTGTAGATCAAGTGCATAACTGGAGTAACTCCTCAAGTTCTCAAATTCTTTCATTACTTAAAAAAGTATATATTTCGTTTTTCAATCTTGAATTTGATGAGGTCCAACCTCACTTGGATTAAACGGACGGCGGCTAAAAAAAGAGCAAATAAAAAAAAGGAGAGAAAAAAGAGAGCAAAAGAAAAAAGAGGAGAGCAAAAAAAAGGAGAAAAAAAAAGAGTATATGTATACCACGCCCCACTCTCGGTGTTTAGTCAACCACAGCTCGTCCCTCGGGCAAAGAAATAATCAAACTATTTTCTACGTCCGGGGTTTAGCTACTCGGTCAGGGCAATTGTAAGACCGGCTTTCGGGTCGAAAATGTATGGAAGAGGTTGCGCCCCGAGCCCCTCACGTACATCCGTTGTCTGACGTTGCTGTCTAAACAGCTCGCATGCACATATGATCTAATCAACGATGTGGCAACTATATGACTGGTTTCCGGACCAAAGGAATGCGAAAGGTCGTGCTCTGAGCCCCTTTCGTACATCCGTTGTCTCACGTTGCTAGGCTTAACAGCCCACATACGCGCTTGATAGGATCAACAGTGCGGGTCCGTTCTGGTCTGATCATGCAGGGCCTTGCCCTTACGTTTGGCCGACTTCAGTTCGACTTTCAGAAAGGGAACAACCAAAATATTTCCTAAGTATGAAACTAGTTGTACAAGTCAAGGTGGTGTAAGACCGACCTCTGGGTCGAAGGTATGCGAGAGGTCGTGCCCCGAGCCCCTCTCGTACATCCGTTGTCCAATCACTGGTCGAACAGCTTGCACAACTCGTCAGTCCTAGACCGACAATGTGCGGGTCAGCCCCGCCTTACCCAGCAGGTCGTGGTCAAGGTCGATCCTGTTGACCTTCCGCCCCTCACAGCCTAGGTGGGGAGCCAGATCCCCGATAAGTTATCCAAGTATTCTTGAATAAAAAACGACTAAGAAAATTGAAAGAACGAACGATGCATACATACAAGCTCAAGTGATAAATCAATCCCGGAGAACAAGTTTGACATCAACATTGCCCATCTTCTCCGCCCATC